GTATTCACTTGCTCAGTGTCATCATCATTGTAATCAGCCCCATTGTCTAGTCCCACGGCGGCTGCTGATGATAACAGACTAACTACAAGACCTCATGAATAGCTCTACGTACGTATCTGTGTAGTAAGCCCATCGCCTCTAGCCTCGCTTCCTCTTGCAGCCTGGGCAGCTACTCCTGAACCTCCAGCAGAGTCGCCTAAGAATAGACTTCACCATAGGCGCATTCTCTTGGTACTAATACTACTACTACCCATCTTAGCAACAATTGAAGCGGAAGTAGCGGCAACCTGCGGATCAGTCGGTGAACTAGCTCCGTTCTGGAAACCACAATAGACTATATAATTCTTCATCAACTGTTCAGCAAGTTGTACGAACTGGGTATGGGATCGTGACCTGAACCGAACCTCATGCGTATCTTGCGCAGCGGGAAGATTTTCTACTTGATAGCATTGTAGATCTGCCCCTTAAGATTGTACTCCTCGAGGAAGGCATCAGGAGCGTGACGCCTGATGATCCTCAAAAGCTCTCGCTTACTCAGATCAGCATACCTCGGACCAAATTCCGCCAAGACCTACAATAGGAAAGGTAGGCCCTACCTAGCATAGAGTAAGTGCACCTACCATCTCTGTAGTAGAATACTGAGTTGGAGGATATTGCTCAGCCAAGGGGAGTGCCTCCGTCCTAAGAGTACTATTACCCTGAGCTGCTGCTACTGGATGATTATGATGAGGCATAGACCGAACCGCGGATGGACCCGCTCGGGACGTTCTGTAGGTTGAGGCCCACGAGGGAGCAACACTGGGGATGCCATTATTAACCCTCGGGTTGTACAACAGCGATGATAGGGATCTCGGTGATGATGATGATGCTACCGAAGCTGTTGAACGTGCAGTGCCGGGATAGGAACCAGACGGAGGAATAGCGGAAAATGATGGTGTTGCTATAGAGTCTGAATTAACTACAGTGAAGTGGGAATCACGATGATAATACTACCCTTACCACTCTCTAGGCTCTGATTCCCATTAGCCCTCACTCCTGACGGCCCTCTCGATGACATACCTCCGTTAGCCCTGAGCCACTGCTGCGTTGTGCCAGGGGCCAGGCCCTCGGCCTCTCGATAAGGCCCACGGTTCCGGGCACCTTCTGGTGGTACATTATTCCGTCCGGTCAGTGGAGTAGCAGTAGCATGAATCGATCCAGCCAAGCCGTCCGAGGTGTTGGTAGTAGAGTAGTAAGGGGCGGGATAGGCATTGTAACCAGGCGGTGGATTCCGACCGGCTGTTGGAGTATCCGCAGTCCCCCTTGGGCCTATGTGTGAATTGTGGGACGGTACCGCCATGATGACGCCGATTGGAAATAAAACCCTCCCATACCATCCATCCACCACTTCTCATCGAGAACACCCCCCCACCAATTTAAATACCCTTGAGCACAGGATACATTATGATAGGAAACAACAGTGAGCTACTAGTCGAGCAATTAATAATCATCGCCTCTAGTCACTACCTCCTTGCATGTGCCTGAGACACCGTAATAATCAGATGAATTGTAGGAAGGGTGGTACGACTTACTCCTCAGGATTATACTATGCTCAGATTGACTGGAGTAGCTTCCCTTAACATCGACAAGCGGAGGATAGGGTACAACGACGTCGTTATCAACCAGTGATTTCAACGATAAAAGGTGCCTGAAGTATACCCAGGGCATATCCAAGATCAACTCCGACTGCTCAGGGTAGGATTATATGTTGGCTCTCCTCAGCTGAGCTCAAGAGGTTAATAGTGAGGAAACTATATGACATAAATTCGGTCAGAATGTACAAAAACTAATAAGAAATTCCCAAAATTTCCTCAGAAAACACATGTGATTGACCATTTGCGTATTTTCCAACAATCCAGCTACTCATAATAGTACCTCGTAGCACCGCAATCATCGAGCCAACGTCGGCACCAAGGAAGTGTACTGAAGTACTTATTAATCGTGTGGAGGAGGCCTCTAGCTCCCTTCAGTCGGAGTTGCTGCGATGCAACATGGGAGTCCAACTGGATGGGGGGGGGAGTGAAAACAAGGGAGGAGAATCGCCAGATAGTACATCGAAAGTGCGCATGTAATGACTACATTCGCCCTCCTCTATACAGTAGCCCCGTCCTGTACTCGCGAAGGTTTCAATGGCATAGAATTGGCCTGAAAACGTCACTCGCCACAAAATTCCATCGTGAATTACCATACCTTCCTCCATGCAGCCCGGCTCGTCGTTCTTCACAATGGGAACGCCCTGCCCGCCGTGCATCTGATATTTGCCTAGTGAGTGCCCGCTCAGATTCTCGATGGCTTTGATGGGGATAGCCTGGACCGACTTTAAGTAGTGTCACCGTTGGTGATATTACCTCGGCACCATCCCTTTCTAGGAACTCGTAGCTCTCTATAGCCTCTTGGATGACCTCCCCAATCTCAGAG